TCCCAGAACCCTGGGATCATGACCTGAGCTGAAGGCAGACGCTTAACGACTGAGCCACCCATGTGCCCCAAAGCAGTTTTTCAGATGGCTTTTTCTTTCATTCCAGACATTGACAGGCACAATCATAATTGCATCACTACAGAATTTGACACTCCTGGGATGCCTGGGTGGCTCAGTCGTTAAGCGTCTGCCTTCGGCTCAGGTCATGATCCCAGGGTCCTGGGATCGAGCCCCACATTGAGCTCCCTGCTCCGCAAGAAGTCTGCTTCTCCTTCTCCCACTCCACCTGCTTGTGTCCCCTCTCTTGCTGTGTCTTTCTCTGTCAAATAAATAAATAAAATCTTAAAAAAAAAAAGAATTTGACACTCCTTTAATCTATTAAAAATGTGTGTGTGTGTGTATGTATGTATATATTTTAAAGATTTTATTTATTTGAGAGTGTGAGCAGGAGCAGGGGGGAGGGGCAGAGGGAGAGGGAGAAGCAGACTCCCCACTGAGCAGGGAGCCTTGACATGGCAGGGCTCAGTCCCAGGACCCCTAGATCATGACCCGAGCCAAAGGCAGACACTTAACTGACTGAGCCACCCAGGCACCCCTAAAAAAGTATGTGTTCTAAGAAAATCACTTTTTAAACTTAGTTTTTCCCTTCATGCCTAGTCCTAGACCTAGGTTGACTTTCTTGTGGGGGCCATTTTCCACATTTCAATTTTTTTTTTTTTTATATTTTCTGGAAGTACTGATTATGTGCATTAAGTGCATGCCAGAATTACAGACTCATGCAGTTTAAATTCAAGCTTCATTTTTAAAAAAGCTTGGTGGGCGCCTGGGTGGCTCAGTCGTTAAGCATCTGCCTTCAGCTCAGGTCAGGATCCCAGGGTCCTGGGATCGAGCCCGCGTTGGGCTCCCTGCTCAGCAGGAAGCCGCCTTCTCCCTCTCCCACTCCCCCTGCTTGTGTTCCTTCTCTGCTGTGTCTCTCTCTGTCAAATAAATAAAATTGTTTGGAAAAAAACAAAAAGCTTGGTATTCTGTGATGGATTTTTATCGTTCCTTGAGTAGTAACATGTGTAAATATCGAATCTGAATCTCAGCAATAATAATAATATAATTCAAAGTAATAGGAGGAAGGTTTTTCTGAATTAGTGAGACCTAAATTTTAAGAATAGATGTTTTATTCTTTCAAGCTCAATGAATAATATGAGTTAACTTAGTAAATTAGTAAATTACCTTTTTAGGTAAATTTTTCAGTTTTCTAGTGGGAGGTATGAACTCATAATCAGGAGTGATTTCACAACTTTCTTTCCCCAGTTTTACTGAGCTATAACTTACACACAACACTTTTGAGTTTAGTGTTTAGCATAAGGATTTGACTTACATATACTGTGAAATGATTGCCACCATGTTTGGTTTTAACATCCATCACCTCATATAGATACAAAAACAAAAAGAAGTATTGTTTTTTTTTTTCATTGTGTTGAGGAACTTTTAGGATTTAGTCTCTTAACAACTGTGAGATATACCATACAGCAGTGTTAACTGTGGTCATCATGTTGTATATTACATCTCCAGGACTTACTTATCTTTAATTGGAAGTTTCTACCTTTTGACCACCTTCATCCAAATTTCCTCCCCCCCCCCACCTTGTAACCATAAATCTAAGTGAGATCATACATTGTCTTCCTCTGACATACTTCACTTAGCATAATGCCTTTGAGGTTCATCCACGTTGTGGCAAATGGCAGGATTTCCTTCCTTCCTTATGGCTGAATGGTATTTTATTGTATATTAACAGTTGTTTATACAAAACCTGTTACTGTATGTGAAGCTACTTTTCCTGGGTCTTAGGGCTGAAGTTTTGATACTGTCCTCCTCCTACTTTCCTTTAGGACTCACTTACGAGTTCCTGTTTTTTAAAAAACACACATCTCCATGCGCATGTGTGTGGATGTGTGAGCATGTGCACATATGTATCAGGGTAGGGAAAGGGTATTGAGGACTGCTGTCCTAAGGAGTTTGGGTCTCAGAGGATCCTTGAATATCATAAAATTGAATCTTTTAGTCTAAAAAGGCTGCTGTTAAGGAAAACAAACATGCTCTTTCAGAGTCGGTGGTAAAGAGTACTGAGCCAAGGGGCGCCTGGGTGGCTCTGTTGGTTAAGCGACTGCCTTCGGCTCAGGTCATGATCCCAGGGTCCTGGGATCGAGTCCCTCATCGGGCTCCCTGCTCGGCAGGAAGCCTGCTTCTCCCTCTCCCACTCCCCCTGCTTGTGTTCCCTCTCTCCGTGTCTCTCTCTGTCGAATAAATAAATAAAATCTTTAAAAAGTACTGAGCCAGGGCGCCTGGGTGGCTCAGTTGGTTAAGCGACTGCCTTTGGCTCAGGTCATGATCCTGGAGTCCCAGGATTGAGTCCCACATCGGGCTCCCTGCTCAGTGGGGAGTCTGCTTCTCCCTCTGATCCTCCCCCCTCGCATGCTCTCTCTCTCTCTCTCTCTCTCTCTCTCATTCTCTCTCTCAAATAAATAAATAAAATCTTAAAAAAATAAATTAAAAAAAAAAGTACTGAGCCAGATGGATTAATCATGTATAACAATTTTTTCCCCCAGTGCACACAGAGACACAGCTTAAATGGTTAAGTCACAGGCAAGATGGGAAAAAAATTCTTTGAAGGTTAGATTCTGGATTTTCTTACTAAGTCTGTGGTTTTCTAATTCCTAAAATTGTTCAAGCCCTAAAAAAATCCTTTTCCATTGTTTGCCCATACTATCTTAGAATATTAAGTTCCTAGTATTGAATCCCTAACTTTTTTTCTTTTGAACTTGCCTCACTCAAGTCTTCTTCCAGCCTTTTTGGAGTAGAGAGTCCTTTTTTTTTTTTTTTTTTTAAGATTTTATTTATTTGACAGAGAGAGAGACAGCGGGAGAGGGAACACAAGCAGGGAGAGTGGGAGAGGGAGAAGCAGGCCTCCCGCCGAGCAGGGAGCCCGATGCGGGGACTTGATCCCAGGACCCTGGGACCATGACCCTAGCCAAAGGCAGACGCGTAACCACTGAGCCACCCAGGCTCCCCAAGAGTCCTTCTTAATATCTTTGTTCTTTTTAATGTCATTCCCCCATCTTCCTTGCTCTAATCTGGATCTTTTCCAATCCATTTTATATTTATGAGGTGTATCAGTAACAACTATGACCATGTTTGGGCACACTGTAGCCTTATATGAAGATAGAATGTGATGGTCTTTTTACTTTTTAGTTTTTAATGCCTTTCTTCATTTCGTGGTTTTTCAGTATTTTATTGGTTTCCTCATCTCCAAATTAAAGTGTTCACTGAAGCCTACAGGGAATTCCTAGGTCCTTTTTCTAGATTAAGAACTATATAGCTTTTTTGGGATGCCTGGGTAGTTCAGTTGGTTAAGCGTCTGCCTTCAGCTCAGGTCATGATCCCGGGGTCCTGGGATCAAGTCCTGTGTTAGGCTCCTTGCTCAGCGGGGAGCCTGCTTCTCCCTCTCCCTCTGCCCCTCCCCCTGCTTGTGCTCTCTCTCTCTCTCTCTCTCTCTCTGACAAGTAAATAAATAAAAAAAAAAAGACCTGTAGCTTTTTCATTATACAAACAATATATATGTGTTTTAGAGAAATTTGGAAACTAAAGAAAGTAAAAAGAAAGAAAATTGCTCATAATCCAGTCAAAACCCATTTTGTGTTTTTGGTGTATCTCCTTATTATCTCTTTTTCCTCTGGATAATATTTTTATATATGAGTATGCATTTTCATATCTTTTCTTACACATTAGATCATTTTTTATATTTTAAATGCTTTATAAAATAATTCTTAACTGCATAGTAGGATTCAGTGAATGAATAAATTCCTAATTCACTTAACCCTGAGTCCATGCTATGCTTGTTTTTTTCTTTTTTAGGCCATGCTATGGTTTAATGAAAAGATGCTATTGAAAATATTTTCGTGTTATAATGTATTCTTTATCATTTTTACAGATCTTAGTCCATGGTATGGTTTAACGAAGAGATGCTATTGGAAAGATTTTTGTGTTATAATGTATTCTTTATCATTTTTACCGATCTTGTTCTTATGTTGCCAGGTGTCTTATTTTTAATAACCCATTTCTGGGTATTATGATTAAATATTCATGTAAGTTAAAATAGTTGGGCAAATATCTATCATCAGACATACATCTCTTTTTTTTTTTATGAAATCTAATGGCTTGGACATTTTTTTTTCTTTCAGGTAAGCTATACACTCAGTGTGGGGCTTGAACTCACAACCCCAAGATCAACAGTCCCATGCTTTATCAACTGAGCCATCCAGTCGCCCTGGGAATTATTTTCCTAAAGAAATTTTCTCCCCCAGATAATGTTGGTACACTATAACACTTTAATACCTTTTGGATACTCATTAAAGTGTTATTTCTCAAGGTACTTCCCCTTGGTAGTTGGAGGATAACATTTATTCCATAACTATTTCTCCGGTCACTATATCCTTTTATCCCAATATAAGTTGTGTGTGCTGCTTTTATTTCAATTGAATGTTGTCCTCCTGAGTGATGTAGTTGAGGACAGTATCAGACTTGAAATCACATGCACTCTGTGAGCATAGTAAATATTAATTACTTAATTTAAAAAAGATTTTATTTTATTTATTTTAGAGAGAGAGAGAGAGACCAAGAGAGCACAAGCAGGAGGGACAGAAAGAGAGGGAGAGAGAATCTGAAGTAGGCCTCCCTGCTGAGTGCGGAGCCCATTGTGGACCTTGATCTCGTGACCCTGAGATCACAACCTGAGCTGAAACCAATTGTTGGATGCTTAACTGACTGTGCCACCCAGGCACCCCAGTAAATATTAATTTAAAAATGGTGCTGCCTTACTTTAGAGAAAATGCTTAAGATTAATGGTAGCTTGCCAGTAATATAATGTAGAATAGTATTCAGCATATGTCCAGTGGAATAGTCTCTCTTCATAGTGACATCTAAACTTTTGTCTGCCCTTCCATTTCCAGGTTGCCATCACGAAAGCCAAAGTGGATTTCTCCAGTGTAGTGTGCCTGCCCCCTTCCGTCATTGCTGTGAATGGGCTGGACGGAGGAGGGGCTGGCGAAAATGATGATGAACCAGTGCTGGTGTCCCTGTCTGCGGCCCCCAGCCCCCAGAGCGAAGCTGTTGCCAATGAACTGCAGGAGCTCTCCTTGCAGCCCGAGCTGACCCTAGGCCTCCACCCTGGCAGGAATCCCAATTTGCCTCCACTTAGTGAGCGGAAGAATGGTGAGTACATACGGAATTATTGCATTGCCTAATTTGAACCAAGGTCTTCATGTTCTTGTTACAGATGATTACTTTATTTCATGTCTCTTGAAAGTTTCTTTAATCTTACTGTTTTTTATGAAATAGAGAAATAGGAAGTTTAGGTGATCATTATAAACCCTACATTTCCTGCCTGGGTTATTACAACTGCTTTCTGATTTGTCTTTCTACTTCTCTGCTTCTCCCTCCCAATCCCTTCCATAAATTCATTAATTCAGCAAATACTTATTGAACATCATTGTCATAAACTAAGATTAGGGGTTAAATGATAAATAAGCCTTTGTCATCAGGAAACTTACTCTATAGCTTGTCAGAGTAATCTTTTAGACCTCCCTAGCTTAATACTTTTCAGTGACTGCTTTATAGGATAAAAATAAAAGCCGTGTTTTATAAGGCTTGCAGGGTCTGGTCTCTTTCTGTTTCATTAGCTTCTTCTCTTATCATTCCCCATTTTTAGTCTTTGCTTTTTAAGTTTTTTTAAAAAAAGATTTTATTTATTTATTAGAGCGAGAGAGCACACACCCATATTGTGAGTAGGGGGAGGGGCAGAGGGAGAGGTAGAGAATCTCAAGAAGGCTCCTTGCTGAACACAGAGCCTGACAGTTTGGGGCTCAACCTCACGACCCCATGACTCAGGTCATGAGATCATGACCTGAGCTGAAATTAAGTCAGACGCTTAACTGACTGAGCCACCCAGGCACCCCTAGTTTTTGCTTTTTATTTTATTTTTAAAGATTTATTTATTTATTTTGAGAGAGAGAGACTGAGCATAGAGGGTGGCACAGAGGAAGAGGGAGAGTGAGAGAATTTCAAGCAGATTCTGAGCTGAGCATGTGGAGCCCTGGGTGGGCCTCAGTCCCATGACTCTGAGATCATGACTTGAATCAAAACCAAGAGTCGGACACTTAACCAACTTTGCTGCCCACGTGCCCCAGTTTTTGCTTTTTAGTACTGTTTACAACCATGCACTCTTGCTTCAAACTTTTAATGAAAAAAATTATAATTTCTTATAAAAACTTAAGGTTTCAGAAAAGGTGTAAATAGTAATATAGCAAATACTTATGTACTTACATACCATCTGGCTTATGTACTGTTTTCCATGGATCTCCGTCTGTCCCCAGGGTAACTGCTGCCCTGAATTTGATATTATATGGCCAAGTAGTTCTGTATTTTTTTAACATATTAATATATTCCTAATAATTCTAAGATATTATTTCTCATTTTTTATTATCACATATATATTTATTGGAGAGAGAATTATATGTATTCTTCTGCAACTTGTGTTTATTCAAAATTTATTTTCCTGTGAGTTATTAAAGATATTCTGTAAGTTCATCTCATCTAATCTATGAATCATTATTTATCAGTAGTCCTACTTTTCTGTACTGATCTTTAGTGTCAGCCTTACCTGTTTCTCAGTGTGCATGAGTTAGTTTTTATGCCCTTTGTTCTGTTTCATTGGTCTCTGTTCACCTCTGTGTTGTACTACATCATCTTAGTTACTGTTGCTTAATGATGAGTCTTGTTGCTTGTTATGATAGTCTTTCCTTGCCTTTTCTGTCTCCACAGTTGTCTTGGCTGTTCTTGGCCTTTTTAATTTTCCATAACTTTAGAATCAGCTTGTGGAGTTATACAAAAACAAACAAACAAAAAAACCAAAAACCTCATTTTTTTCTCCATTTTATTATGAAAAATTTCAAATGCAGAGTTTTACAACGAATACCTTTATGTCCACCTCTTAAATTCTACCATTAACATTTTGTTATACTTACTTTGTAACATATCTATCTATCCTTCTATCAATCCATCGTATTTTTTACATTTCCAAGGAAATTGCAGACACTAGCACACTTTCATTTTATTGACGTATATAGTGTTAATATAGAATAACACACAAATTGTAAGTGTCCTGATTATTGAATTGTCACAGAGCTTACATACCTGTGTTTAATTGCTACTTTGTTAGGAGATATTCCTAGCACCCATAACCATCTCATGTGCTTCTTCCCATCCGTATTCCTTCTTTTTGCCCAAAGGAAAATACCATCCTCACTTCTAACACCATGAATTAGTTTTATTGGTTTCTAAACTTTATGTAAATGGAATCATGCTGTATGTGTTCTGTTGCTGTCTTGTTTTAAAATTCATTTGTGTTGAATTGTGTGTGGCTCTAGCTTATTTTCATTGCTACATAATTAATCCATTTTATGAATATAGTGGAATTTGTTTTACTTTTGGTGGGTATTTGGGTTGTTTTAGTTTGGGGCTATTATGAATTACGAATCAAGAAACATAAAATTCTTGTGTATGCCTTTTGGTGTACTTGTTGGGATTTTGATTTGAAATATATAATTTATAGGTTAATGGGGAGAACACACATTTTACATATTGGGTACTAGTTTTATCTGTCCATTAGTTAGGTTTTTTTTTTTTTTTAAAGATTTTATTTATTTATTTGACAGAGAGAGACACAGCAAGAGAGGGAACACAAGTAGGGGGAGTGGGAGAGGGAGAAGCAGGCTCCCCACTGAGCAGGGAGCCCGATGCGGGGCTCGATCCCAGAACCCTGGGATCATGACCTGAACAGAAGGCAGATGCTTAACGCCTGAGCCACCCAAGCGCCCCTGTCCATTAGTTAGTTTTATCTCTCCAGTTAAATAGGTCTTCTTTGATGTCTTTCCACAGAGCTTTACAATTTTCTCCATAAAGGTCATGCAAATATTTTTTTGCATATGTCTTTTTTTGGGGGGTAGACATTATCAGTGGTATATTTTTATAAAACATTTTCTGACTGATGCTGGGGAATAGAAATACCAAACTTTTTAAAGTTTTTTTTTTTTTTTTAAAGATTTTATTTATTTGACAGAGAGAGACAAAGCAAGAGAGGGAACACAATCAGGGGGAATGAGAGAGGGAGAAGCAGGCCTCCCACTGAGCAGGGAGCCCGACATGGGACTCGATCCCAGGACCCTGGGATCATGACCTGAGCCGAAGGCAGACGCTCAACGACTGAGCCACCCAGGTGCCCCGAAATACCAAACTTTTTCAAAACTCCCGTGACTCTTCTACATTTATGCCCTCTATTTGAGATACCACTCTGTCCCTACTCTTCTTGCCAACTCTTACTTGTCCTTCAGCATTCTGTTCAGGCATCATTCCCTTTAAGAAGCCTGTCCTAACTCAGTGTTAGGATCCTTCTTTTGACTTGACCAGTTACCTCCTATCAGTATACTTCATCACTATATTGTAATCGGAATTCTCCTGTCAGCAGCATGAGTGAGCCTTTGGAAACTGAACTCAGACCCTGTTATGCTTCTCTCACAACCCTCAGTGTCTTCCTGTGAGGGTTACGATGAAATCATAGTTTTTTTTTTTTTTTTTTAAAGATTTATTTATTTATTTTAGAGAGAAAGTGAGAGAATGTGCCCTCAAGCTGGGGGAGAGGCAGATAGAATCCTTAAACAGACTACCCTGCTGAATGCAGAGCCTGATGCAGGGCTTGATCTCACAACCTTGAGATCATGATCCAAGCTGAAATCAAGAGCCAGATGCTCAACCAACTGAGCCACCCAGGCGCCCCAGTATGATAGTTTTAATGATGTGGGCCTGGTATCCTCTCTGACCTGATTTTTTCTTATCTCTGTCCCCTCGCTTAGTCTACTCTCATTTAGCCACACTGACTTTCTTGCTGTTTCTTGAACACATCAAGCATGCTTCTGTCCCAGGGCCTTGGTACTTGCTGTGCTTTTACTGAGGTTCCTGCACAAATGTCATTTCCTCAGGGTCATTTCCTCAGGGAAGCCTTCCCTACCTGACTTATCTTAAATAGCACCTCCCATTACTCTCTGTCCTCCTCTGTTTTTTTCAAGCACTTATTATTATGGTGTGTGTGTGTTTGTATATGTGTGTGTGTATGTTTATTGTCTATATTCCCCTGCCTTTGGTAGTTTGTTTCACGAGGCCAGTGGGCAACCAATAAATATTTGTAGAATGAATAGATGAATGGTTTACTTATTTGTTCCATTAGAGGCAAGAACTCTGTTTTTACATCCATAGTGGGAAATGTAATGGAAACTCAGACAGTTTTTATTTTGGGAAATAACGGACACTCAAGCATTTTTTTGGTGTTCTTTTCTCATTTCTCATTTTTATTTTTCTTCCCCAAGATGGCAGAGACTTCAGCTTATTTATATGGTAAGGGGAAAGAGTCCGGAGGGAAAAGCTGAAGAAAGAAAAGGCGAAAGGGTAACTGAGATGATGTGAGGGGATGGGATTTAAAGGTATTGGCTCTGCCTTGAGCACAGGTAAGGGCTATGATTCCTCTGGGGTAGGAGGAATGGCAGTGAAGGTGATGACAGACGGCAAACAGCAGACCGCTAAAATCTTGGGCAGGAAGTGGAGGAAATTGATGCTGACAGCTGTGAGGGTCTCAGGGGAGTCAAGAGCAGCTGTTGCAGGAGTGTTGGTGCCTCTTCAGCCTTTCTCTCTGAACTCTAGCATATAAATCAGTTGAGCTTTTTCCCTATTTTGAATCAACAACTTTCTAACCTTTCTAAGATCCTGAAAGAGCAGGTTATATCATTCTACTTTCCCACATTCCAGAGACTTCACTGTGTTCTGGCTTCTGTCCCTATCTCTCTTCAGAAACTGCCATCACTGAAGTCATTAGTGTTCTTGTAGATCAAATAGGCACTCTTCATCCTGTTTGACCTCTTTGTAGCATTTGACATGATTGACCACTCCCTCCGACCTGCAACTTTTCCTCCACTGACATCAGTGACGTTATTACTCTTCTTGGCCTTTTCAAGTCTGCTTTTATATCCACTCTCTTTTCTGCTCAGACCTTTTGCCACCTTTCTCTACCCACCTCTTAAATTTTGTTACTCCCCAGTGTTGAGCTGTAGGGCTCCTTTACTTCTTACTCTGTATTTTTATTTTGAATGATTTCCCCCAGAACTTTG